GCTGTAAAGTCGACTCCGATACCAGCAGGTACCAGAGTATTTAAAAGAGAAGCCCTCGTACGAGTTTCTATGAAGACCTTCTCATTCAAGAAGATCTTAATAGAAAATCGTACGAGGGCATTGGAAACTCGCGTCTGGTACATGTTGGTACCAGAGTGTTTGAGATTTGAAGACTCTGGTACTAACATGTACCAGAATTTATGATGAATTTAAGATGGACCATTATAAAATGGTAGCGGTTTGTTTCAAAAAATTTTAGATGAGATTTGCATAGATATAGATTATATGATTTATACATATGAAAAATAATATATAAAAATATAATTTTGAGATAATTATGTAAATAATATTTTAAATATTTGAATTTGAGGTATAATTTTATAGTAAAATATATTATAAAGAGTATTTATATAAATATTGTAAAATAATATAAGTAATAAAAATTGAGACTCACTCCCTGTTTTTGATGTTTTGTCACTTTTTCGGTAATTCTTATTGTTTCTTCTTGAGCTATTTGTTGTTGAAGTTGTTCTTGTAATACAATACTTTCACCAGTTGCATCTTCCAATTCGAAACTTTCTGCCGTCATTGACAAATACATAGGACATAAAAGTTTTACAGGAACAAAGTTTGCGTCAACTAATGTCAACGTTATACTTGCCAAAGTGTTTGAGTTCACTAAGGTTGAAAATTCTGCATTCGAATGAACAATAGGCAAACCAGCAGAGAAAGTATTGTTTATACGCATAAGTATCTTTTGGTCATAATAGTTTCTGTCGACATTCGAATAACACTTTGAACCTAAGTTTGAAACAATATATAAGATTGGTGTGCTTAATGTCAATGGAATAGACATTCCTTGTATGACACCTTTTCCTGTTATAGGAAACTGTTGGTAGTAAAAACCAGAAATAAGTTTTGTATTATAGCTCATATCATTAATAGTAAACTCAGTCGGACATCCAAACATAATGAAACCTGCTCTAGTTGCAGCACATGTGACACCCGTACTTAAAGTATTAAATAAGTCAACAAAACCTGTTGGTGGTATATCTGAGTAAGTATCTTCAAAGGAGTATTTTTTACCATTCACAACAATAAAGTCTTCTGGTGTCAAAAGAGCAAAACAGGCTTTAGTCGTCATTGTGTTTAAGGTTAGTTTACAATATCGTCCTTGAGGACTTTGTAAGTTTGTTGTTATAGAATTATATGACTCAGGGTTTTTAGTCGTAATAGTATAAACCATTATGTCTTCTGCCATTTACTTAGCAAATAAATTTTAATGAAATGTTGTGGTCGTCAAATATTTTTATAACGTCTGGGAAACTATATTTTAAGTTCAACGTTTCACCTCCTTTCATAACGTATATCTTGTCAATGACATTATATGAAACACCACAGCAACCAATGTCGGGTTCTATTTCTTTGATGTTTATATTGTCTGCCTCTGTCAAAAGTTTCAATAGTTCTTTCAAAACTTCATGAGGTGCAATGACATATGAGTTCACTTTTACAGGGTTGTGTTCGACCAAGTTTAACATTATACTTAAAGCTTGACAAATCTTCTCCTGAGTTTGAAGTTTGTCTTTCAGTTGTTGGTAGTCGTTTCGAATATCTGCAACAGAACTTAAGTCTCTGTTAACTTCAGGATATGTTGGTTCTTTTACAGGAACAATTGTTATACCATCTTCGTCTTCGTATGGTTTCCCCACTTCAACATCTCTGTCTTTGACATTGACAACAACACTTTGACTGTTTGTTTGAGTTGGTGAATTTAACTTCACATCTGCCACCGCCATTAAACCTTTTGAAACACTTACGCTTCTATTTTTCGGAAATGACATTTTACTTAGAATAAAAAGATGGACGTATTTGGATATCTTATTGAATTGAATCAGAACAAAGTTTATACTCACAAACAATACAAATACATTGACAGAATAGTTCTTTACACAAACAATGGAAAATGTTATAGAATAGCAGTCTTTGCTGAACCTAAATATTTTCATAAAGCAAAGAAAGTTGGTATAACTGAAATGGTGAAAGTTCTTGAAGCAGACAAAAATATAACTTCAAAACTTACAGATATTACTAAAGGAAAGTTTATAATACAATATTATGTCAAAACTGGCGTACTGTCAATACTTGACGGAGAAAAGTCAGTTCAAGAACAACTTACTGACCTGCTGCCAAAATCTGCTCGATGGAAGCTGTCGTTATGCCAATCTGAGGAGCCCCAGCAGGTTTCATCGAACGAATCTTCAAAAGAGCATCTTCCGTGAAAAGTGCTATTGGTTTTGTAAACTTCTTTGCGCTCAATTCATCTGGACCGTCTCTGTCACCAGTATATTGTATTTGAACTGTACCAACAGTTGAAATACCACCCATAAAGTCTTCTGAGTCAGCAAATGGAATGCCAAGCCAAAAGTTTGAACGGTCTCCATTTGTATATTGAGTTTTTTGACCTCCTGTATGAGTCCATACTTTCACATATGGCATAATAGAACTTTGCATTTCAGGGTTAATGGTTGTTGTGAAGTTGTTGTTAAAGTTCATAGCATCTAATGTCAAGTTGTATGACCTCATATCCTCAACTGTAGAATATTCTTCTCTTGGATAATATTTGCCATCTATGTTTAATGATATTTAATACCAGGGTTGTAGAAACAAGAATAGTCATTTATAGTTCGTCTGAACAGTACAAACATAGTATCTGCATGTTTCATTGCAGTTGTTAAAGCAATATCTGTTCTTGCACCTGCGGCTCCTGGATTTTGGTTTCCAACTTCACCTGCAAAGTCTTTGACAGATATTTGGTGTATAGGGAACATAAGTGGAACTGCAATATATTTGGCAGCTAAAGCATTTGAAATATCTGGGTCCAACATATAGACTGCAAGTCTGCTTTCTATTCTCTTGCATTCAAACTGTTCGCATGTGAACTTAACTGGGTCCCAAGCAGTTCCAGCAGCATTGAAATAATAGTTTACTTCATTGTTGAAGTTTGAGAAACCAAAGTCTAAGTCAACTTTGTCTTTGCAAAATTCGGCGAATGACGTTTGATTTGTTCCTTTACGTCTGTAAGAGTGAATGGTCTTGTGTTGGTGCAATGACTAAGTTATTTTTGCTTGGAGTAAGTTCGATAGAAATTTTTCCTGCCCAGTTTGGCAAGTATCTTAAGAACCTGAAGATGAGGAAAGATGACAAAGGAACTCTAAGTTTCAGTTTTACTTTGGTTACTGCTGCTGCAGTTTGTCCAGAAAGGTAACATAAACTCCTGGAACGTTAGGGTCAAGTCTTCTTATTTTCTCAATAGTTGCATACTGGTCTGTTTGTCTCTAGCTTGTGGTTGTACTGAGTTTCTCAAAGCGAACCATTCATAGTTTGCCCATGTTACTGTTTGAACTAAGTCAGAGTTAGAATATATCTTATATCCCATGAAAACTTCTGGAGCATATTGGTATCCGACATAGAAAATTCCATTGCAACCTTCTTGTCAGACAACTTGGCAGAAGGTTTTATTTCAATGTCTTGTTCCACGTATAAGAATGAGTTGTCAATAGAAAATAATATGAAACCTGTCGCAAGCAATATATACTGTTGTTGAAGAACCTTCTCCAAACTCACCTACGTTTCCATAAGAAACAGCAGTTGTATATTCGTAAGTTCCAGGAACTATTTCTGACCTTCTAATGGCATTGTCGCATTCGTTATACATTCGGAAACATTTCCGTTCATGGCATCGCATCAAAACTGTTGGCGTTATATTCTGAGCGGCGTACATTTCATATGGGTAAAAATATAGAATAGTTGGATTTATTTGTCATAATAGAAACCCACTCGTACCAAGCTTTACTTTCTTCCTGACTGAGTTTTTAACTGAATCTTTAACTCTTCTTTTTCCTTCATTGCCACTACTTTCACTAGATGAAGTTACTTCTTCACTACTTCACTTTGTTCTACTCTTCTCTTCTTCTTTGGTGTCGCTTTTTGGTACTGTGCCCTCTGCTTCAAGTTGTTGCATCTTTGCCTCATGTTCACAGTATGTTGTAAATTTCACGTGTCCTTTTTTTGGGCCGGTGGCTCTAGGTAACCTATATCCTAGAAAGATTTTGTCATAGTTTGTATTTGAGTCTTCGCTAATTGTTTGCATGACTCTTTCCTGAGTTTCCGGTTCAAGCTCTTCAAACAGAGCTTGTCCATATGGAATAAGCTCGTTTCCAAATATATGTTTTTGTAGCCATTCTGGTTTTCTTCCATGTAACCAATAATATCTTTGTGAATGGGAAAGCTTTTACCCAACGTTTCAGTCTTGCGTCATTTATTTCTGTAGTTGGTTTTATTTGTCATGGAACATGTTTTTCAATACATAACATTTCATTTGGTACTGTCCATTTGAGTTTTCTTAAATATTCATCCCTTCTCAGTTCATTGTCTGCAAAGTAAGTTTTTTATGACATTTTGCAAACTTTCGTTTGCAAGGTCATGTACAATAGGTTCTCTTCCTTCTCTCTCCCTAACTTTCTTTCTAAACTCTTCACCAAATATACCATCTCTATGGTTCTGTGTAGTTCTTTGAGATAAATGTTCTAGAACGTCAGGTGTTATATTTCCCTCAGCCATATTCATTTCATACTGGTCCAAAATATCTGCATGTTTCATATCTTTCAATGGCATTAAAGCCGCGCTGAAAATACCCGTTATATCTGGTTCACCATTCACTTCCATTGCGTCTACAACTTCTTGGAATTGAGGTTGTAAGTTTATGAACCACCTATCCGGATTAGCTTTATGACCCCATTTCATTGTAGTTCCATAGTCTGCAGAAACAAAAGTAGGTTTGTTTCCATATTGGTTAGGTTCTGAATGAACTTTAAACAATGTTTCATTTCTATATGTTTTGTTGAAATTTAACCTTTTATTTTCACCGAGTTTAGCCAAAGATTGAACGTTATATGGTCGTAAGTAAAAAGGATTATTGTATTTGCGTACATTTTCTTTCAGTACTTCCATTCTATGCTGAATATTTTCATCTGATGTTGGAGTCTTTTGTATGTCGGCGAACATTTTTCGATATTCTTCTACCATGCCAGCCGAATTTTTTTTAGACTCTTGGAAAGATTCCATATTCACCTCATACTCTTGTTGAGGGTCAAGATTTTTCGGCTGTTCCAAATCTTCATCTAGTTCTGTGAAGTTAGTTTCCAAAGGAGGGACTTGTTCGTTTCCTTCAGGCTCTTCTAGCTGTTGTTGCTGAACTATTTCTTCCATGTCTGGTTGTATCTGAACTTCTTCCTGTTGAGTTTCTTGTACCTCATCTGCTGGCATTTCATATATTCCGAGACCGTTTTTAACAAGTTCCCTATCTAAGTCATCCGGACTCATAAACCCTTCTTCTTTCGTTCCGTCTCTATTTTTTACGCGTTTCATGAAGAGAGTTGAATTATCATTTAGCTCTGACATCAAATATCTCAGAGTAAATTCATTCATGTCATTTGGATGATATGCTATTAAATCATATCCCTTTGCGAGCTTGTATTTTCCAGGTTTGAGATTATATCCGATTTGATGCTGAACCATAAAGCTAAATAGGTTCGGGTCAGTATTTCCTTCCTTGAACTTTCTAATAGCTTCTTTATATCTGTCACTAAAGTCAAGAGTATCTGGGTAACCATAATCTTCCTTAAGCATTTTTAAGAATTCTTGGTTTCATTTTTCTCTACTTCTTTTATGTCCTTGCTCTGTTTGTGGTTGTTGTTGTGCAGGGTTTTGAACTGTTGGTTGCTGTGCTGGTTGTGGAGGTGGTTGTTGTGCTGGTTTTGGTTGCTGTGCTGGATTTTGAACTGTTGGTTTTGGTTGTTGTTGTGGTGCTGGATTTTGAACTGTTGGTTGTTGTGTTGGTTTTGGTGCATGCCTGTGTCTGTGTCCATGTGACGATGTAAATGTTTTAGGTAGTCCTGGTGCAGGTGCTTCTCTTGGAGGGTTTGGTGGTATATAAGTTCCACCAGCTGGCACATATGTTCCATCTGCAGCATAATGTCCTACCTGACTTTTCGTTCTTAAGAAAGCATTTACTAGGTCTGTTTTGGTCTGTTGTAACTCTTTTTCTTGACTTTCCACAACAGTTGCTCTAACGGCGTCATAGGCACTTTGAACTGCCCTGTCTCGTTGCTGCATCTGTTATTTTCGTCATATTTTGTGCTACTTCTCTTAACTCTTTGTCGAAACCTTCAGACTTCAGTTTCTTTCCAGATGAGAAGTCGTTCACTTAGTTTCACCTTACTATGAAGAGCTTCGAAGGCATTCTTAAAGTCAGCATTCATTAAAGCTTCATTTGAACTGTCTTCATCCGCTTGTATTTTTGTCCTTATTGACCCTATAAGTTGGGCTGCTTTAGCGTTGGCTTGGGCATCTAACCAGTCATTATTAGCTTTTATATATTCTGCGCTTTTCATTGCCTTTTGCATGGCTGCGTCGTTATTTTTACTTTCTTGTGCTAAGTTCATACTGTACGGTTTGGTTTTGCAACTGTAAAAGTTTTTCTGCCTTTACATTTGCTTCAACTTCTTTTTTATACTCATCGCTATCCATATATGTCTTCAGGGCTTTTTGTTTTATCTCTTCATCTTTCAGTACTTTATATTGAGTTATGGTTTTTTCAAATTTAAAACATCTTGTTCCATTTTTGCTATTCTGCTGTTTTTCTGACACTTTTTTCGCATATTCCTCTGTACTTAGTTCTTTCAGTTGTTTTCTTTCTTCTTTTTCTCTACGTTTAACTCATTGAGTTTCTTTGTGTGTCTGTCATATTCTAGTTTCTTTTCGTTTTCACCTATTTGTTTCTGTATGTCTATGTTTGACTTTTTGACATTGTTATTTGATTTTTGAGTGAACTCAAATTCATTTGACTTTGAGGGTTATAAGCTGTTCCGTCTGCAGCTCCACCATAGCCTGCCATTTTCGCTAAAAGTGCCGCTCTTAAACCTCCACTCTGTGCACCAATAACTCGGTTTAAAAGCATAGGATTGCTTGACATTTGTTGCAACATAGTGGGGTCATTCATTATTTGTTGTTGCAACTGTTGTTGTGGTGTCAGTTTTACTATTGGATGTTTCAATGCTCTCTTCCTCTTACGTATATTCTTACGTAGCTTACGTGGCATTTTAAGTGAAGTTAAAAAGCGGTTTTTGACAGATGTTTATATGACACTTTTTGTTCAGCACAAAAAACTACTCGGTCAAAGTGTTGTCATTTTTGTAAAATAACCGTCTTATCTCATTCTAAAGGGAAAAAGGCTTCTCAAAGTATACTTCCTTGGAACGCCTGTAACTTTTCCTGTAGCGACGATAGACCCTTACTTGTCCGGACAAAGTTATAATATTTTGAGCGCTCTACAAAAAAGTCAACGGCGACGACTCTCAACAACCGTTGTGTAAAAAGTTTTCCCGTTGGACAAAAAAGTATATATAGAAAACAAAAAACGTTTATAGTTCATTCAATATTTGAGATAAACCGTTTTTCCAACGGTAACTATTAAATAAAATAAAAAAATAGAGGGGGTCTCCGTTGACGAAAACGGTTTATCTCAAACTTTTCTATGAGTGGTCCGAAAAAACAGTTCATTTTTCATAATGGAAGCCAACGCTGTTAACCACAATTCAAACATTAACAATTCTCAACCGCTAACCAAAGCCAAAGCCCCACAACCTCCAAGAACTGGCACAGCGGTTAGAATAACCACCAAAAAGTCTAACAGCGAATTAAGAGAAATTCTTCAACAAATTTGCTCTAAATATCTCAAAGACGCCGAAGAAAACACACAACCAGACGCTACATACAATACTCTGTTCTGTGAAGTTCTGAACAAAGCAATTACTAGTTCAATTGAACTTAGCGATGTCTTAGTTCAGTATTTTCCAACATTTACTAAGCTTATAATGTTGAGAACTTTATACCAAGTTTGTCAAAATCTTCCTCGTTACATCCAACGGTCATTCGACACGAGAATTGCCGAATTCCAAGTCTTTAGTTACGGATATGACGAAGATGAATACGTTGACGAGTTCCGAGACAACTGTACAAAATGGTTTGAATGTTATACGACAACACAATTTGAATTCGACTTTCTCGAATTCAACGCAGCAACCATTCATATCATTGCTCTTTACCTTCCGAACAACAACAAGACCTCGCAGATGGAGATGTTGTTACTGTCGTCATGAAAACTCCTGAACAATTCGGAAAAAAGAAGTCTCTAATTGCCAAATTCGTTCCAGGACATCAGCTTTTCCAACGCACAGAAGTCTTCTGTATTCCTGGAACTAAGTTCTTTGTCAGGAGCGAACTCAAAGAAAGATATAATGTGTCATTCAATTACACATTATATAATGTTTTCGACCCAGAAGAAGGCTTCTTCCCAGAAGCAATGGAGGAGGAAGAAGAGGAGGAGGAAATACAAGACTCTATCCAAGAAGAGTCCTCCGAATTCACACCAGAAGACTAACAATTTTCCGAATAAAAACTTCATTTATACTAAACATCTTCGGGGCTAGAAGGCGCAACGCGCCTGGAAGCCCCACTCACCTGACCTAAGGATCTCCTCTAAAACTCCCATATAGAGATCTCCCAGCTTCTTTCGATTGGAGAACTAAAGGTGTTATCACACCCGTAAAAGATCAAAAAGAATGTGTTGCAGGATGGGCATTTTCATGTGCAGGATTGCAAGAATCCATGTGGGCTATCATAAAGAATGAACTTGTTCCATGTTCTGTTGCGCAAGTTATTGATTGCGATTGGGATGCGCATGCATGTAACGGAGGAACAAACGATAGCGGCTCTTTCTTTGTTTTATATGAAGAAGAAGCCATTTGGATGACTGAAGAAGAATATCCATATCAGCCTGAGAAAGGAACGTGTAAATTTGATAAGACCAAAACACACCAAACGTTCCTTGATCTCCATTACGCACTGAATGAGACAGATATGGCTCACATGATTGCTGAATATGGTGTTATCTCTTTTGGATATGATTGTTCGCTTTCGACATTTACTTATTATAAGGATGGAGTTTATGATGATCCTTCTTGCGATTTGTGGAATCTCTGTCATTATATGCTGATTGTAGGTTATGGTTCAGAAAACGGAAAGAATTACTGGCTCTCGAAAAATTCCTTCGGAACTACTTGGGGTATAGATGGATACTGCAAGTTGGTAAGGAATAAAAATGGTCAATGCGGTATTGATCTCTTAACTTACACACACTTGATAGATTGAATAAATATTTCTCTTTTAGTTTATGTTTGAACAAATCTCTATCCTATAAATACAGGGGGTTGAGCAATTTTTTTTGAATCATATAGAGAATGAATTATAATATCCTTGCGATAATAATGTCATGTGTTATGGTCGATACTGAAATCCATGAAAGAATCATTGAAGATTCCAAAAACGCAAAAAGAGGTTTAAGCATGTATTATGCAGTTATAATAGGTTATACATGCTTTATTTCTGGTTTTAGAATATATTCACATTGGTATAAGATTTACAACATATTTTCAATCTCAATATGCATAATTATATTTATGGGCTCACCGCTTTAGTTTACAACTATTCAATTTTCGACACTTCGAGGTCTATTTTCTCTTGATAGAATAGATATCATTCTGCATAAGCATGACCATAACATGTCCATACCATTATCTACCTATTTGTCGTTTCAGATATCAAAAAGAAGAGATTTGATCAAAACCTTAAACATTGGAGTTTTCACTGAGAGCCCGCTGATCAAGATTTCTCAAAATTGGTCCATCCGATGTTCATTTTTTATTGAAATAATATGTTTAAATATGATTAAGAGTCTATATCTTCATTATTGAAAAAAGTCAACAACCCAAATCTAGAGGTCTTTCTGCGCTTCACCACATTAGATATTTGAATCCTTTTTTCGAAAATTTGCACATAAGATAGTATTGTATCATTGATTATATATTTCATAATATTGGTCGCCAATTCTTTGTTGTGATACCATTTTTAAAGCAAATGTTAAAAATTGAATAGTTGTAAACTAAGGTAGTGATCCCTTAAATTCGACAAGTACTGCTACGATTCTGACAAAATAACCTTAAATATCAGAAATATATTTTTTATACTATTTATAAATAAAAATATTTGCATACAAACAAACATAAACTTTAATCACATATCTAAACATTTATAAAATAACATAGAAATTCTTTTCTGTTGAATAATTTCATGTATTTGATTATCATTAAGCATTGATGGTTCTTTGAAATCATCAAATTTCCACCAATCTCTTTCTATTTTTATGAGAGCAATATAATGGCCGGCATTCTGGTTACCAATGTGTTGAATAATTCCAAATAAACAGTAATCTTTGTTCTCTATTTGAAATTCTTTTTCAATTTTCAGACTTCTATTTTCAATTTGATTCAATTCAGAAAAGTAATTTATATAAACTGATAAAATTTTTGGAAAGCGAATTACTTTTTTATACTTTTCTATGATTTTCAAATCATGATCATCATTAAAAATCTCCTCATATTCAACATATGATGCAATTTGATCTTTGAAACCTACAAATGACGTATTATTAATATCGATACATAGAAACTTGAGACGATACCATGTGAGGTGAATTTTCCCCATACCACGATCGTCCTTTTAAACAGTATGCAGTGGCAAAGGTTGATATTCAGACCTGATCTTTTAGGGGCAGATGCGCTATATATGTGCGCATCTAAACGTGTAGCAATGAATGGAAAATATTTTTGGACCCAAGTTATTCACATTATAAATTTATCAAAAATCAATATTTAGATCAAATATTCTTATGCGCATATTATATAGCCTTCATATAACAATATTATATATATAACATATGAATATCTCACAACTTATAGTATGACATCTTATATAACTAATTCAAATATCGAAATATGAATATAAAAATTGTGTCACGATATATTATTGGTGAGTTTATGAATGAGTAGAGTACTATTATAAAGAAATATTAGAGTTTTATTCAAGTTGAGATGTGATTGCGAATGTCTTCTTGTTCTTTCGGCGAATGCAGCGAGAGAATAAGTCTATTGATCATGGTAAGTGCACATATGATGCTATAGTGCACTTATCATGATCAATAGAGAATTCTCTCGAAATTGCACCAAGGTCATCGCAAGTGCATTCTTCAATCACAAATGCACTTGCGATGATTCAAAATTGCGAGTGTCTGCTGCTCCAGTCCAAAGAAGTAGTAGACACTCGCAATGCGAACCAAAGTTCGAGAGTTTAGATCTTAGCAACAAGATCTGAGGAAATAGATTTGAGAGTCGAGAGTTTAGATCTTAGCAACAAGATCTGAGGAAGTAGATCTTAGCAACAAGATCTGAGGAAGTAGATCTTAGCAACAAGATCTGAGGAAATAGATTTGAGAGTCGAGAGTTTGGATCTTAGCAACAAGATCTGAGGAAGTAGATTTGAGAGTCGAGAGTTTGGATCTTAGCAACTAGATCTGAGAGTTTTATCATTTCCGGCATATTGGGCCGAAAAGGAGTGATCCGCGTAAGTATGAAAAAAGGTGAATTTTGTTGTATGGTGTTTTTTTATTATATCCGTTTCTCTCACAATTTTCAATAAATATTATTGTTCAAACGGAAATATAAATAAACAATTCAAAAATAAAAATGTAAATGTAAATTGAAAATGTATTATAAACATGCTAAAAAGCGTATATTTTAAACTTAAAGGAAAAATGAAATTCGTAAAAATGAGCATGATGTTTGATAAAGGAGTTTTAATTTTTTTTCAAAAAAATTAAGGAACTTAAATTGGTTTCGAGGCGTAGATAGGGATAAAAAGATGCTTTAAGAAGATCTCAGTAGAAATATGGTTTATAAGAGGATATAGGTCAGGATATAAGATTATGAAAATTGAAGAAGTGAATTATCAAGATGTATTTATGAGTAAACTATATTGTTTTAAGCTATCTAAATCTGTTTTGATATAAAACGAAAAAGAAATGCTTTAAGTGTTCGGCCACTTAATCATTTTCCCACAAATCATTATGAACAGTGAGAAGATAGAAATTAATTTATCATGTGTAGATATTGCCACATTTAAGAAGCTTGAAAAGCTTATTAAAGAAAAACTTCCTGGTGTTATTTATAATAATATCGCAGATTATCAAACAAGTCCCAATCAATTAAAACTATTACAAGAGAATACTATTAAATCAATGATTGCAGCTTCCAAAAACCGTGCTCTAAGCTATCAAAGATCTCTGCAAATGAAAAAAAATCAATGAACAAAGAAAAATACAAGATGGAACTGCAGACGAATTAGAACAAGAAGCAGAAAAGGCAGATCTTGAAACTCTCAATGACAATGAAGATGATTCTGATGATCAAGATGAAGATGAAACAAATGGTGATGAATCCTTGAGTTTAAGCGAAATATTATTAGATGATTATACCCCATTATTTAAGTACCCTCCGTTTGCAGATAAATTAACGTGTGTTATCATTAATAACATGTTATATAATTTAAATTTTCCAAACTCAAAGAGCCGACGATACTATGCGGAGACACTTCAATTTGCCTTTATGTTGTATTGCCAACAACCCTCAGAATATTTGTTGGCAAGACAGAAACTTATGTTGCCATCAAAAGCAACTCTATTTCGAGTCTTTGGTAAAGATATTGCAGCATGGAAGGAACTTTTGCTTTCAAAATCATCTTCACTCCCAGTATTCCTCAGATTCAGGGAATTATATCCATATACAGATGAGGAATTACGTGAACAATGCCATTTTTGCATTGGAATAGATGCAATCACAGGCAAATTATGGAAGAAGTCCGGCCATGACGATCAAATCGAGGACTTATTTGCATTATATTTGATGCCATTAGATTGCAAAGGTCCATCAATATGTTTGCATATAATACAACATACAAATGGTCTTGCATCTGGAATTATGAGTGAAATCTTGGATTACATTGCTACAGTTCAGAAAACACTGAATGTTCCAGTTTTTACAACTGATGGTGACAAATCTTACGATTTTCTTTATCAGATATTCTTTCACCATTGGTACAGCCTAGTTACTGGCTTTGATGGATTAGTAGAAGTCCTTAAAAGTGCAAAATTCCAAGATCTTAAGATTATCTTCATCGCGGACGTCGTTCATATAGGCAAAAACCTCAGAACGTTATTAATTTTCCCCAATAAGTTAATCTTTTTGCAACCTTATGATCCAACGCTGCACGTCGATATTACAAAAATTAGATTATTTTCCAAACTTGGAGATGCAATTAACAACTGTGATAAGTCTACCACACTCAATGACAAATATCCTGTAACAATCTTTAACGTTCAAACCGTCAAGGATATGCTAGATAATAATTGCTACACTGAAGCAACTTGGCTCCTTCCACTTGCACTTTGGTTTGAGGGAGTCCGAAATACCATATTACCAGTTGAAGCAAGATTGTCAATGTTCAAACTTGCTTTTTTCATCTTGCATTTCTTTCTCAGATTGCAAGATGTGGTCGGAGTCACTGATAGACTTCCTAATATAGAGACACCAGATCATCGTCTCAAATTCAAAGGTTATCTTTTTGCCAGAAGAATGCATCTTCTGAAAATGGCGACATCTCTTCTCACTCTTTATGGATTTTTAGAGGAATTCCCGAATATAAATTTTCAACATCTCACAACCCTTCCGGTTGAACATTTATTTGCCTTATTCCGAAAATTTGCGCATTCAAAAAAAGAAGTTAAAGATGTTGTAAACAGAAATTCATCAAAAGTGACACCTCAGAAAAGCTCAAATATTGAATTTTTGGAACTTTTGATAGAGCACGTTTTTAAATATTAATTAAAGTAAATGTATATTTTGTAAAGATTCTTTTTAATAAAAAAGTAAAATTTTGAAGAAGAACACAAAATCTTCTGAAAAATAATATCACATAAACTCATATTATTTTGTTGCATGCTAAGTTCGGTCAAAATGTAAACCTCTCAATTTTATCGTCGGGGGAAGTAACTCAATTCCTTCAAAATTATTCTTTAAATATTGAATTTAAAGTTATTTAATTTAAAAAAAAAAGGTAGTGGGGCTTCCAGGGGCTGCGCCCCTTCTAGCCCCTAAAAAACCTAGAGGAGAACTTAAAAAATTATATAGTAAGAAATTAAAGTTTTTATTCGATAAGAACGACATTGCTATCGTTTTCTTCTTCCTCCTCTTCTTCATAGTCAGTATCTGATGGCTCTTTGTCAGCCACATGACCAGCAACAAATATTGAGACAAATTGTTTCTTTGGTTTTGTTAGCAGGAACTTTTGCTGGTCGTAGAACACGAATTCTACATTTTGAAAATGTTGTGCTGAGTATTCTGTGAAATGGGAAATTGGAATTGGTTCTCCCATGCCAAAACCAGCAATGGACGCGAACAAAACATCGTCTTCGACTCTTGCAGGTTTGTCAATTGCAACAGTAGTTATTATGTGTGGTTTTCCTTCACATCCTGCAAGAGATTGTACATGATAGATTGCTTTTTCTTCTCCCTCAGGAACTGAAAGTGTGAAATGGAATGAGAGTTCTCCATATTCATTTGCTTCTTCGTAATAGTTGTATGTTGTAGGATACACCAATTGAAATTTTCCTATTCTTGTTTCCCTCAGGTGTTGTCTATATTGCTTGGGAAAACATAAAATAAATTGCTCTATAGCTTGTGTTGCTATTAGATTGGTTGTAACTGGTAATTTTGAGGCGAAAAGGTCTACAAGAACACCGGGATTTTTTATGTCGTTTTCAATTGGTTTAACAGATTCTATGACTTTGTTAAACATTTCACTATAGTCTGAGTTGTCTTCGACCCCCCAATTGTTAAGAAGTTTATACAACAATTTCAGTCTTTTCATGGCGTATTTTCTTTGAATGGATTCGGGTAGCGAGAGGTTACAGTCGTCGGTTTGTGTTTCGTTACTCGAATATTGTTCAAGAGAAATTAAATCTTGAAATTGTGCTCTTGTTAACATACTTGTAGAACTATGTGAAACTTGTTCTGGTGCTGGTTGTAAATCTGTTTCAGATGTTTCTGTTGTGTTTTGAGAAGAAGAACTCAAATTGTTGGACAAATTGTCTTGAATTGTATGAGGAACTTGTTCTGGTGCTGTTTGGACAACTGTATCTGTTGTGTTTTGAGAAGAAGAACTCAAATTGTTGGACAAATTGTCTTGAATTGTATGAGGAAGTTGCTTTGGTATTATAGGAGGTCGTAAGGGTTTTGAGAATGGTGAGACATAAGTTGTAGGAACTTTAACTGCAGAGGTAGTCGACGAATTGTTTGCGACACTTTTTCTTCCTTCCATTATGAAAAATAAACTGTTTTTTTCGGACTACTCATAGAAAAGTTTAAAATAAACCGTTTTCGTCAACGGTAACCCCCTCTATTTTTTTATTTTATTGAAAAGTCTCCGTTGGCAAACCGTTCCATCTCAAATATTGAATGAACTATAAACGTTTTTTGTTTTCTATATATACTTTTTTGTCCAGCGGTAAAACTTTTTACACAACGGTTTTTGAGAGTCGTCGCCGTTGACTTTTTTTGTAGAGCACTCAAAATAGTATAACTTTGTCCGGACAAGTAAGGGTCTATCGTCGCTACAGGAAAAGTTACGGGCGTTCCAAGGAAGTACTTTGAGAAGACTTTCCCCCTTATAGAATGAGATAGGACGGTTATTTTACAAAACTGACAACACTTTGACCGAGTAGTTTTTTGTGCTGAACAAAAAGTGTCATATAAACATCTGTCAAAAACCGCTTTTTAACTTCACTTAAAATGCCACGTAAGCTACGTAAGAATATACGTAAGAGGAAGGGAGCATTGAAACATCCAATAGTAAAACTGACACCACAACAACAGTTGCAACAACAAATAATGAATGACCCCACTATGTTGCAACAAATGTCAAGCAATCCTATGCTTTTAAACCGAGTTATTGGTGCACAGAGTGGAGGTTTAAGAGCGGCACTTTTAGCGAAAATGGCAGGCTATGGTGGAGCTGCAGACGGAACAGCTTATAACCCTCAAAGTCAAATGAATTTGAGTTCACTCAAAAATCAAATAGCAGATGTCAAAAAGTCAAACATAGACATACAGAAACAAATAGGTGAAAACGAAAAGAAACTAGAATATGACAGACACACAAAGAAACTCAATGAGTTAAACGTAGAGAAAAAGAAGAAAGAAGAACAACTGAAAGAACTAAGTACAGAGGAATATGCGAAAAAAGTGTCAGAAAAAGCAGCAGAAGTAGCAAAAATGGAACAAGATGTTATAAATTTGAAAAACCATACTACTCAATATAAAGTACTGAAAGATGAAGAGATAAAACAAAAAGCCCTGAAGACATATATGGATAGCGATGAGTATAAAAAAGAAGTTGAAGCAAATGTAAAGGCAGAAAAACTTTTACAGTTGCAAAACCAAACCGTACAGTATGAAAACTTAGCACAAGAAAGTAAAAATAACGACGCAGCCATGCAAAAGGCAATGAAAAGCGCAGAATATATAAAAGCTAACAATGACTGGTTAGATGCCCAAGCCAACGCCAAAGCAGCCCAACTTATAGGGTCAATAAGGACAAAAATACAAGCGGATGAAGACAGTTCAAATGAAGCTTTAATGAATGCTGACTTTAAGAACGCCTTCGAAGCTCTTCATAGTAAGGTGAAACTAGTGAACGACTTCTCATCTGGAAAGAAACTGAAGTCTGAAGGTTTCGACAACGAGTTAAGAGAAGTAGCACAAAATATGACGAAAATAACAGATGCAGCAACGAGACAGGCAGTTCAAAGTGCCTATGACGCCGTTAGAGCAACTGTTGTGGAAAGTCAAGAAAAAGAGTTACAACAGACCAAAACAGACCTAGTAAATGCTTTCTTAAAAACGAAAAGTCAGGTAGGACACTATGCTGCAGATGGAACATATGTGCCAGCTGGTGGAACTTATATACCAGCTGGTGGAACTTATATACTAGCTAGTGGAACCTATATACCACCAAACCCTCCAAGAGAAGCACCTGCACCAGGACTACCTAAAACATTTACATCGTCACATGGACACAGACACAGGCATGCACCAAAACCAGCACAACAACCAACAGTTCAAAATCCAACACAACAACCAACACAACAACCAACACAACCAAAACCAACAGTTCAAAACCCTGCACCTGCACCACCTCCACAACCAGCACAACCAAAACCAACAGTTCAAAACCCTGCACCTGCACCACCTCCACAAACAGAGCAAGGACATGAAAGAAGTAGAGAACAAGGAAACCAAGAATTCTTAAAAATGCTAAAGGAAGACTATGGTTACCCAGATACTATTGACTTTAGTGACAGATATAAAGAAGCTATTAGAAAGTTCAAGGAAGAAAATACTGACCCGAACCTATTTAGCTTTATGGCTCAGCATAAAATCGGATATAATTTCAAACCTGGAAAATACAAGCTCGCTAAGGGATATGATTTAATAGCATATCGTCCAAATGACATGAATGAATTTACTCCGAGATATTTTATGTCAGAGATAAATGACAATTCAACTCTCTTCATGAAACGCGTAAAAAATAGAGACGGAACGAAAGAAGAAAGGCTTATGAATGCAGATGACTTAAATAGGGAACTTGTTAAAAACGGTCTCGGAATATATGAAATGCCAGCAGATGAGGTACAAGAAACTCCACAGGAAGAAGTTCAGATACAACCAGACATGGAAGAAATAGTTCAGCAACAACAGCTAGAAGAGCCTGAAGGAAACGAACAAGTCCCTCCTTTGGAAACTAACTTCACAGAACTAGATGAAGATTTGGAACAGCCGAAAAATCTTGACCCTCAACAAGAGTATGAGGTGAATATGGAATCTTTCCAAGAGTCTAAAAAAAATTCGGCTGGCATGGTAGAAGAATATCGAAAAATGTTTGCCGACATACAAAAGACTCCAACACCAGATGAAAATATTCAGCATAGAATGGAAGTACTGAAAGAAAATGTACGCAAATACAATAATCCTTTTTACTTACGACCATATAACGTTCAATCTTTTGCTGAACTCGGTGAAAATAAAAGGTTAAATTTCAACAAAACATATAGAAATGAAACATTGTTTAAAGTTCATTCAGAACCTAACCAATATGGAAACAAACCTACTTTTGTTTCTGCAGACTATGGAACTACAATGAGATGGGGTCATAAAGCTAACCCGGATAGGTGGTTCATAAACTTACAACCACAATTCCAAGAAGTTGTAGACGCAATGGAAGTCAATGGTGAACCAGATTTAGCTGGTATTTTCAGCGCAGCTTTAATGCCATTGAAAGATATGAAACATGCAGATATTTTGGACCAGTATGAAATGAACATGGCTGATGGAAATATAACACCTGACGTTCTAGAACATTTATCTCAAAGAACTACACAGAACCATAGAGATGGTATATTTGGTGAAGAGTTTAGAAAGAAAGTTAGGGAGAGCGAAGGAAGAGAACCTATTGTACATGACCTTGCAAACGAAAGTTTGCAAAATGTCATAAAAACTTACTTTGCAGACAATGAACTGAGAAGGGATGAATATTTAAGAAAACTCAAATGGACAGTACCAAATGAAATGTTAGTATTGAAAAACATGTTCCTTGACAAAATAAAACCAACTACAGAAATAAATGACGCAAGACTGAAACATTGGGTAAAAGCTTTTCCATTCACAAAAGATATTGTTGGTAACATGGAAAGAAAACCAGAATGGCTACAAAAACATATATTTGGAAACGAGCTTATTCCATATGGACAAGCTCTGTTTGAAGAGCTTGAACCGGAAACTCAGGAAAGAGTCATGCAAACAATACGTGAAGACTCAAATACAAACTATGACAAACTCTTTCTAGGATATAGGGTACCTGAGATGGGCGACCAGAGCCCAAAGGCAAAAAGGACATGGGAAATTTACAACATACTAGGTGAACATGAGGCAAAGATGCAACAACTTGAAGCAGAGGGCAAGTTACCAAAGAAGAAGAGAAGAGTAGAACAAAGTGAAAGTAGTGAAGAAGTAACTTCATCTAGTGAAAGTAGTGGCAATGAAGGAAAAAGAAGAGTTAAAAACTCAGTCAGGAAGAAAGTAAAGCTTGGTCCACATGGGTTCTATTATGACAAATAAATCCAACTATTCTATATTTTTACCCATATGAAATGTACGCCGCTCAGAATATAACGCCAACAGTTTTGGATGCCATGAATGGAAATGTTTCCGAATGGTATAACGAATGCGACAATGCCATTAGAAGGTCAGAAATAGTTCCTGGAACTTACGAATATACAACTGCTGTTTCTTATGGAAACGTAGGTGAGTTTGGAGAAGGTTCTTCAACAACAGTAGATATTGCTTGCGACAGGTTTCATATTATTTCTATTGACAACTCATTCTTATACGTGGAACAAGACATTGAAATAAAACCTTCTGCCAAGTTGTCTGACAAGAAAGGTTGCAATGGAATTTTCTATGTCGGATACCAATATGCTCCAGAAGTTTTCATGGGATATAAGATATATTCTAACTCTGACTTAGTTCAAACAGTAACATGGGCAAACTATGAATGGTTCGCTTTGAGAAACTCAGTACAACCACAAGCTAGAGAACAAACAGACCAGTATGCAACCATTGAGAAAATAAGAAGACTTGACCCTAACGTTCCAGGAGTTTATGTTAACCTTTCTGGACAAACTGCAGCAGCAGTAACCAAAGTAAAATGAAACTTAGAGTTCCTTTGTCATCTTTCCTCATCTTCAGGTTTTTAAGATACTTGCCAAACTGGGCAGGAAAAATTTCTATCGAACTTACTCCAAGCAAAAATAACTTAGTCATTGCACCAACACAAGACCCATTCACTCTTACAGACGTAGTGGGAACAAATAAAGTCATTCGCCGACTTTTGCAAAACAAAGTTGACTTAGACTTTGGTTTCTCAAACTTCAACAATGAAGTAAACTATTATTTCAATGCTGCTGGAGACTGCTTGGGACCCAGTTAAGTTCACATGCGAAAAATTTGAATGCAAGAGAATAGAAAGCAGACTTGCAGTCTATATGTTGGACCCAGATATTTCAAATGCTTTAGCTGCCAAATATATTGCAGTTCCACTTATGTTCCCTATACACCAAATATCTGTCAAAGACTTTGCAGGTGAAGTTGGAAACCAAAGTGCTGACCCAGGTGCAAGAACAGATATTGCTTTAACAACTGCAATGAAACATGCAGATACTATGTTTGTACTGTTCAGACGAACTATAAATGACTATTCTTGTTTCTACAACCCCGGTATTAAATATCATATAAACATAGATGGCAAATATTATCCAAGAGAAGAATATTCTACAGTTGAGGATATGAGGTCATACAACTTGACATTAGATGCTATGAACTTTAACAACAACTTCACAACAACCATAACCCTGAAATGCAAAGTTCTATTATGCCATATGTGAAAGTATGGACTCATACAGGAGGTCAAAAAACTCAATATACAAATGGAGACCGTTCAAACTTTTGGCTTGGCATTCCATTTGCTGACTCAGAAGACTTTATGGGTGGTATTTCAACTGTTGGTACAGTTCAAATACAATATACTGGTGACAGAGACGGTCCAGATGAACTGAGAGCAAAGAAGTTTACAAAACCAATAGCACTTTTCACGGAAGATGCTCTTTTGAAGATTCGTTCGATGAAACCTGCTGGGCTCCTCAGATTGGCATAACGACAGCTTCCATCGAGCAGATTTTGGCAGCAGGTCAGTAAGTTGTTCTTGAACTGACTTCTCTCCGTCAAATATTGACAGTACGCCAGTTTTGACATAATATTGTATTATAAACTTTCCTTTAGAAATATCTGTAAGTTTTGAAGTTATATTTTTGTCTGCTTCAAGAACTTTCACCATTTCAGTTATACCAACTTTCTTTGCTTTATGAAAATATTTAGGTTCAGCAAATATGCTATTCTATAACATTTTCCATTGTTTGTGTAAAGAACTATTCTGTCAATGAACTTGTATTGTTTGTGTGTGTAAACTTTGTTCTGCTTCAATTCGAAGAGATACTCGAATACGTCCATCTTTTTATTCTAAGTAAAATGTCATTTCCGAAAAATAGAAGCGTAAGTGTTTCAAAAGGTTTAATGGCGGTGGCAGATGTGAAGTTAAATTCACCAACTCAAACAAACAGTCAAAGTGTTATTGTCAATGTCAAAGACAGAGATGTTGAAGTGGGGAAACCATACGAAGACGAAGATGGTATAACAATTGTTCCTGTAAAAGAACCAACATATCCTGAAGTTAGCAGAGACTTAAGTTCTGTTGCAGATATTCGAAACGACTACCAACAACTGAAAGACAAACTTCAAACTCAGGAGAAGATTTGTCAAGCTTTAGGTATAATGTTAAACTTGGTCGAACACAACCCTGTAAAAGTGAACTCATATGTCATTGCACCTCATGAAGTTTTGAAAGAACTATTGAAACTTTTGACAGAGGCAGACGATATAAACATCAAAGAAATAGAACCCGACGTTAGTTGCTGTGGTGTTTCATATAATGTCATTGACAAGATATACGTTATGAAAGGAGGTGAAACGTTGAACTTAAAATATAGTTTCCCAGACGTTATAAAAATATTTGACGACCACAACATTTCATTAAAATTTATTTGCTAAGTAAATGGCAGAAGACATAGTGGTTTATACTATTACGACTAAAAACCCTGAGTCATATAATTCTATAACAACAAACTTACAAAGTCCTCAAGGACGATATTGTAAACTAACCTTAAACACAATGACGACTAAAGCTTGTTTTGCTCTTTTGACACCAGAAGATTTTATTGTTGTGAATGGTAAAAAATACTCCTTTGAAGATACTTACTCAGATATACCACCAACAGGTTTTGTTGACTTATTTAATACTTTAAGGACGAGTGTAACATGTGCTGCAACTAGAGCAGGTTTCATTATGTTTGGATGTCCGACTGAGTTTACTATAAACAATATGAGCTATAATACAAAACTTATATCTGGTTTTTACTACCAACAGTTTCCTATAACAGGAAAAGGTGTCATACAAGGAATGTCTGTTCCATTGACTTTAAGTACACCTATTTTATATATTGTTTCAAACTTAGGTTCAAAGTGTTATTCGAATGTCGACAGAAACTACTATGACCAAAAGATACTTATGCGTATAAACAACACTTTCTCTGCTGGTTTGCCTATTGTTCATTCGAATGCAGAGTTTTCAGCTTTAGTAAACTCAAACACTTTAGCAAACATAAACTTAACCTTAGTTGACGCAAACTTTGTTCCTGTAAAACTTTTATGTCCTATGTATTTGTCAATGACGGCAGAAAGTTTCGAATTGGAAGATGCAACTGGTGAAAGTATTGTATTACAAGAACAACTTCAACAACAAATAGCTCAAGAACAACAAATGCAACAAATAGCTCAAGAACAACAAATAGCTCAGGAATAAAAAAATATTTTTTTTTATTTTTATAAAAATGTACAGAATAGATGTTTCAGATTTTTATGACTTCCAAACATTCAGAAATATGTGTCCATTTCGAGACTATAACAAAGCAGTCGAGAATTTGAAACGTTTAGTCATTTATGTCGACTCTGCCCCAGAATGTTATGTTATGAAAGAATGGGATGTTGTCTTTAACAAACCTAAAGCGACAATAGTTTCAGAACAAGAATGTAGACAGAAACTTAAGAAAATAAAAGTCGTACAAGTTGGCATGAAGATGTTAGATGCTTGGGATATCTTATTGTCAAAACTTGAAGATTTTTCAGTTCGTGGTATAAAGTTCTATACACCTTCTCCAAACTTCTATTCTATCTTCACTGGATATAAATACGAACAAGTAGAATGGAAAGAAAATATTATAGAAGCTTGGTTAGACCATGTCAAAGAAATTATATGCAATGGAAACGAAAGAGTCTATGAGTATATCTTATGTTGGTTTGCAAACATCTTACAACATCCAAGTGCTAAAAATGAAACTGCTCTCATTATAATTGGAAAACAAGGAACAGGTAAGAACACTTCTTTACAGATATCTTATGCAAACTGTTAGAGGCTATTCGAACCCGAATATGACAAACTTAGAAAACATCTGCGGTAAATTTAACTCTTCAATAGAGAATATGAAACTTATAGTATGTAACGAACTTCAAAGTATAGATACAACAAAAGTTTTGAACTCAGATGCTTTGAAGAGTCTTATAACAGATAAAGTTGGAGTTGTTGAAAGAAAATATAAAGACCAAAGAGTTTGTGAAAATGTTGCAAACTTCATTATGGTTTCAAACAATGCTGTTCCGATGAAGTTAGAAAGTTCTGACAGAAGATATGTAGTTGTCAGAACGTCAGATTCTCATATGCAAGATACAGAATATTTTGACGACTTAGCAGAAACTTTGACATCTGACTTTTACAACCACTTGTTCTCATATTTTATGACATTAGATATTTCAAAGTTCAATCCAAGACAAATTCCACATACCGAAGAGAGACAAACATTGTTAGAAGCAAACAAGAGTGTATATGAACTGTTCATAGATGAAACTGACTTTGAGTGTTTAGATGAAAGGTCATTGTACGATTCGTATAAACAATATTGTCAAGAGTATGGTTATATGACAGCGTCTAAACGAACATTCTTGGCAAATGTCAAAAGTCTTTTAGATGTACAGAATGGTGTATATACAAAGAAAAATTTTTCTGAGTAAATTTTAAAAAAAAATATTTTTTTATCCGATAGAAAAGATGACAAAATTCATCTCAGTAAACAAGTACATGTCAGGACTTAAAGAAGAACTAGACCCATTCACATATTTGAATGTTTACTTCTACCATTTTGAAAAGTCTTCATTCAGCAAAGTTTGGAACATCGAACCAGTTAAGTTTGCTATTGTGACTAAAAATGGTGCGAAATTTGAAGACTTAGACATAGAAGGTTTGTTAACAGTCAAAGAAAGTTTTGACAGAAGGTTTTCAAACCTTAAAGAAGGCAAAGCATACAAACTTGTTATACCTTATGAACCAAAGAAAGCAGACGACTATGAATATTATGAGTCTAAGATAGTTGAAGTTCAAGGTAAATTGGGTAAAAAGATTTTAGAGTCTAAGCCAGTGTTTACTCCTAAAGAGGAAGAGAACATTGACATTGACCCAGAAATGTTCTAAAAATAAAATTTTATTTTTACATGTCAAATTTCTTTTTCTCTGGAACTGGTTCAGGTTCTTTCTTCTCTTCTTCTACTTTCTTTTCTTTCTTTTCTCTCTTCTTCTTTTCTGGTGGAGTTATGTCAAATTTCTCAGAACCATATTTTGTAAAAGTTCTTTGTCCTTTAATAGCTCTTCTATTCTGTTTGCTATTTCATCTTCAAGAACAGCGCATGTGTCTTCTTTGCATTCTAAGAACTTTTGTTGGACTTCATCTTTCCAATCGGCGTCATCTCTGTCAACAAGTCTGTCATTGACAAATTTTAAGACTGCTCTGCTTAATGTTTTATGGTTCTTGTCATATTCCCAGAAACAGAACTTTAGAACAAATTCCCCTTTCTTGTTTACACTATGTAAGATTTTATGGTCGACAGATGTTTTGCTGTCGAAAAGCTTGTCTCGAATATAGATGGCGAAATCGCTAGACATTTTCTAAAAGATAAAAATTTTAATTTTTCTAAAAATATGTTAGAAAAAAAGTTTGCTGACATTGACAAAAAATTTGAGAATGTTTTAAATAAGAACAAGAGGAAGTTGGAAAATGCTCAGATAAAACCCATACATGACAAGTTCTTATTTGCTCAGAATGGTATAACAGGTCTAATTGCACCACCTGGGTCGGGTAAGACTTTCACTTATCTTAAAATGGCTGCACAACAACAAGAACTAGATGAGAAGAACCCATTCTATGAGTTAGTTGTTATTTGTAGTACTTCGGGTCAATTTGACCAAACCGTAAATTCGTTCAAAGATATTATAAAGAAGTCTAAGTTAGTATGTATAAAAGACTCTGAGTTGTTAGATTGGATAAAGAAGTACCAAAGAAGAGTTTTGAAGTACAATGCTATAAATGAGTATATAAATTCTAAGTTTAAAGACCCAAATGAGGAAATGCAGAGAATATTAGAGAAGAAACACTTCAGAAACAAACAGAAAGAGATAGAATACATTTCGAAGAAATTGCAATCTTACGATTGGAAGACTTACCCTCATAGATGTCTTCTTATCTTAGATGATTTCGCCTCTCATCCTTTGTTAAAGAATAGAGAACAAGACATGTGTCGAATTCTTAAGAAGCTCAGACACTTTAACATCTCAGTTGTCATTTGTGTACAGACAGCAAAGAGTTTAAGTAAGGATGTAAAGAGAATACTTACTGACATTGTACTTTTCCCTGGATTGTCCGAAGACGATTTCATGGAACTTATGAAAGAGTCCATGGCAGGTAAGTTTGACAGACATGAACTATGGGAGAAGTACAAAGTCATACAAGACCCTCATACTTCTTTCAGAATTCATATCTACGCAAACAAAGTTCAAATTGTAAAAAGTCAAGCGTAAAAAATGTAAGTGTTTAGTCTTAGTCTGTTGTGGTTCTGCAGCTTTCGGTTCTTCTGGCTTTGGAATGGACTCGGTTGGTGGTACGTCGGACATTCGTTTGTGTCCTGTCGGAAGGAAGGACTTTTCCTGTTGGAAGGAAAAATTTTTCCTGTTGGAAGGAAGAGTTCTTCCTGTTGGAAGGAAAATTTTTTCCTGTTGGAAGGAAAATTTTTTCCTGTCGGAAGGAAAATTTTTTCCTGTCGGAAGGAAAAATTTTTCCTGAAGGTCGGCCAAAAAGTTCTCAATTTTCGAAAATTTGAATGGTTTACGGACGGACAACTGGAAAAATTTTTCCTGTTGGAAGGAAAATTTTTTCCTGTCGGAAGGAAAATTTTTTCCTGTTGGAAGGAAAATTTTTTCCTGTCGGAAGGAAGAGTTCTTCCTGTCGGAAGGAAAATTTTTTCCTGTCGGAAGGAAGAACTTGGAATGCCAGAAGGAAATTTTTTTCCTGTCGGAAGGAAGGACTCGGAATGCCAGAAGGATTTGACAAGGCAATTTATCATCTAGAGCTACCTGAGCCATCTGAAGTCAAGCGTAAAAATAAACGCTTTACATGTATTTTTCAGCAACTTCGTCAAATAATTTTATAGCTTTATCTATCTCATCTACTTCAAACGTTTCTTTACCTTTCGTGGGAGCACCATACATTTTCTCAAACTTTTCAAGTAGTTCTGTTTCTGCAGCTCTCATATCGTTAACAAACACAACCTTGACTCTATTGACTGTACTGTCATATCTTTGAGTTATATTATATGTTCTTCCTATCTTATATCTCTTTGTATTGAAGTCCTTCGGTTTCTGAACGATGTAAAGTAAGCCTTCACTGCAACGTTCCGTATCGAATGAACCATGTGTTATGAAGTTATATCCAACAACTGGGTCTAACCATAACAAAACTATTGGTATAAGACTTTTGTCTATAAGATATGCTGTAGTTCCACAGAATCTTACCGATATCATAAGCTCAGGATTTCTTGTCAAAATTTTCTGAGTTGAAGCAATTCCAACCCAATGCCATGTTTTCTTTCCAGATGGAGATAAAATGTCTGACAAAGAATATTTGTTGTATTTCTTTGAGTATCTTACGTTTAAATCACCAATTCTAACCATTTTGGTGTCATTGTCTATCTTTCTAACTGTTTCAAACTCAACCTTTAACATTTTCTGTCTTTACATACAAAATAAAAAATATTTTTTTAAAAAAACTAACGTTATTTTTTTATTTTGTATAAAAGATATGATTTCAGGGATTTTTTTGACGAAGTGCAAAAGTTCACTTCGTCAAAAATAACAGTTATATAATGAAATTTGGTCATTTTTTCACGATTTTCATGAGTTTTAGGCGAGTAAGATTTTTTACGTACTCGCAATTTTTCACGATTTTCATAGAGTTTTAGGCGAGTAAGATTTTTTATTTTGTATAAAAGATATGATTTCAGGGATTTTTTTGACGAAGTGCAAAAGTTCACTTCGTCAAAAATAACAGTTATATAATGAAATTTGGTCATTTTTTTCATGTCAGAAGACTCGAAGGTGCAACACTTCCAAAATACCGACGAACTCAGAAGAGCAGCATGGCAGTATGTTCTTGACAACTTCTTTGAGTTCTCTAGGTACACCTTGGAAAATGCTGAAGAACTCCGACACAGAGAATTTGGAGAAATTGCGCTCCAATACTACCTTGACAAACAAAGGGTAAAATAAGACTAAAAACTTAACGTTTAAAAAGTGACATTTTTAATGAGCTCCGAGTCACCGAGAAAACTTGGTCAGATGTTAGCAGCTTACTTCCCTGAGGAGGATGGAAGCGTTACATACGTAAGGTTCAAAAACAACGAACCTGGAATTGCGTACCAAATTCGCAATTACATGACCATGGAAGAGTACGAAAGGTTCCTACAAGAGAAACCAGCTCTAAACAACTCAGAAAAGAAAGAATAAAAAGTTTAACTCGTAATTGTTTTTATTTTTTTACTTGTATGGGCAAGCTGCAAGAATGAAGTCGACTATCTCAGTCTTTGTCTTGACGAGCTGGACGGCTCTTGCGAGTACATCTGTTTTGCGGTCTCCAGCTGGTGTCTGACCTTCGTAATTGCGCATGTTCTTGAGAGCTCCAACTGTAAATGGTTGTAGGATGAAGAGTCTCTCAGACTGCTTGAGGTAGTCGTCTCTGTCTTTGACCGAATCTGTGGTACGAGTCGAATCGGTCGATTTGAGGGAAGAGACTGAAAGCCTGTCGTCTTCCATTGGAGCTGTAGCATACTCTTTGCGTAAGCGGTTCAGACCTTCTTCGAAGTCTTGGTCTCTCTTCGATTGAGATTGGAATTGGAATTGCTGGGGTGGAGCTTGCTGGAACATCCAAGGGTTGGGGAAGTAAGGCATAGGCTGAGGAGGAGGGTAGTTCGGGAAGCCTTGTGGTGGGTAGTAACATTGAGGTGGAAATTGGTAGTAATTTGGTGGAGGTACTTGCTGGAACTGAGGTTGCTGAGGAGACTGTTGTGGTTCTGCAGCTTTCGGTTTTTCTGGCTTTGGAATGGACTCGGTTGGTGGTACGTCACTCATCCGTTTGTGTCCTGTCGGAAGGAAGAACTTTTTCTGTCGGAAGGAAAAACTTTTTCTGTCGGAAGGAAAAACTTTTTCTGTCGGAAGGAAAAACTTTTTCTGTCGGAAGGAAAAACTTTTTCTGAATTTCGACCAAAAAGTTCTCAATTTTCGAAAATTTGAATGGTTTACGGACGGACAACTGGAAGAGTTCTTCCTGTCGTCGGGAAAAATTTTTCCCTTTGTCCGGAAAATTTTTTCCAGTTGTCGGGAAAACATTTTCCTGTCGGATGGAAGAACTTGGAATGCAAGAAAGACTTGACGAGGCAATTTACCTAATTGAAATTAACGACTGCTTAAAAGACTACTTGCGCAAGGTAATGAAGCCCAAGGTCAAGTTCATCTCTATTTCTGGAAGGTCTACACTTCAGCTCGAGACTTCGACTGGAATTCCAATTCAAATACCAGACGGGACAGCCTACGATGGCATAAAGGACGCCAAAAGAGAAGCTCTTGTTAAGTTCCTAAACAAACGTCCTTGGATAAAATACCAAACAAGGAGAACCCCTACCCCATATGAAATTGGCAATTCAGTCTCTCCTTCACTTCTCTGGTCAGCCGTTCTACATAACCTCAGAAGGCGACCTCCAACCAGTTCAGCAAACATCTATATGGCACGTTTAGAGTAAAAACATTTTTTTTCATTTTTTGAATGAAGCAAGTTAAATTCGTCCCACACCAAACTCAATGGACCGATGAAGAGTTTCAAGCTATGGTTGAAGGTGTTGAGAACGACATAGACGGCGAACTTGAAGGAGCTCAAATCACAATTGCAACCAAAATTGCAGAAGTCAAGGAACAGATAGCTCCACTTAAAGCTACCAAAGCTACTCTTGACCTCATGGATAGTTACCGTTTAGATGTCAAGAGTGGAATAAGACAATTAAAATTAAAACTTCTAAACTACGAAGCTATACTCCAAAAGTTAGCAGAAATGAGAAGATTTTACCAGAGCTACTTACATGTAAGGGACTTACCTTCAAGCAGTCCGACCAAAGATGAATTTGTTGACATTGTCCCAATTTTGTCCGAAAGTCAGCTCAGATGTTTCGAACTGCTCCCAACATATCCAGAATATGAACGTTTGCCTGAACTCTTCCACAATCTCAAAAAACGTTTTTTGGTTCTCATGTTCGAAACTTTTATCGGAAGAGACAACAAACGTTCAGAAGAAGAACAAGATATTATTTTAAACTTGTTGTATGACTTAACCGTCATAACAAGCTTTTTAAAGTAAAACCGTCATTCTCAAACCACTTCATTTTTTCGATGTCCGAACAAGCACCGAAGCCAAACTCAATGGCAGATGTCCTTTCAAGGTTGCCAGACAAGCGCCCAGTTCAAATTCAAATTGCCCAATTGAACGCTCATCTGACAAACACCATTCAGACTCTCCAAAGTAGTCTTATGGAAGAGATAACCAATCTCAAAGTCGAAGTCCTCACGAACCAAGCTGCCAATAAGAAAGTCCTGAACGATTTCGCGGAAACCTTGCGCCAATACAACATAGAGAACCAAAACCTTGCCAGACTCATCTACCGTTTCTTCGAAGAGATAGACGCCATCTGGAAGGTACTCGGAAAGGACAGAACATGCAACACCGTACTTCGTGAACACAGAATTGCCGAAGGTATTATCAAAGAAGAGGAAGAAGAGGAAGAAGAGAAACACGAAGAAGAGAAACACGAAGAAAAGGAAGTTTGGGCAACCCTTGTTGCCGATGACGCTTACGAAATTTCCCAACCCTACCCATACAAAATCCGCAACAAGGGGACAGGCAAGGTTCTTACCCCAGTCCTCAACAACTTGGGACACTTGAACCTTAACCTTCGGAATTACGGTGCAATTTCCATGGGAAGGCTTGTCGGTATGCAATGGGTTCCAAATCCAGACAAGAAGTCGAGGGTCAGACACATTGACGGTGACAAGCTCAACAACCGTAAGGAGAACCTCGAGTGGTTCTAAGAGTAAAAAAAATTTATTTTAGGGGGAAACCCCAAGTAAATTTAGGTGTTTATTTGGATAAGTATGTTAAATTAAGGGAAATTTGCAAAATTAGTTCCCGACCTTTGAATTGGACTCTTTCGTTATCCCAGTTGCGTAGGAGGTCGTCCCAGAGGAGTTGGTAGAATTGCCAATCCAAGGACGATTTGTCCTCCCAGGCATTGAGGATGTACTGCTCGTAGAGTTTCATGACCTCTGCCTTGCACCAGACACCCTCTCCCTTGGAACGTAAGGCTTCTTCGAAGTGCTCGAATGCGATTGGCTGCTTGACCATCCGAAATGACACTTTTTGTCCGTTTGGTCAATGTTCGTGTCTCGTGCCATAGTCGACGAAAATACAGACAAACAGGTTATATATGAGTTTGAGACCAAGAATGGTGTAACTCGACCTGTCCGATTCAAAGACTCCGAGGGCGACCATGAAATTAAACGGAAATTAGCTAGGAAGGAATATAAAATGGACTGGTTGCCACCACCTCCACCTCCACCACCTTTACCTGTTCCTCAAGTAAATAAGCCTTTCACGTTCCCAAGAATTCCCACATTTAAATTCAAATTCGAATAAAAATTTTTTATTTCATGCAATGTTTTATTTCTGTGCCGTCTTCAAGTATGCCCCAGTACTTACGCTTGGAGAGGACATGAACTTCTGAAAATACCTTACCTAGCTTAAAACAGCCCATCTTTTCACCGACCATTCCCATTTCAATGAGTTTGTTATAGCCTTCTTCGTTCGTCATGAGTGCGTCAATGTTCTCATAGTAAACCACAACTTTCGATTTGACTTCGGAGAAGAATTTGTTGTAGTTGTCAAGGACTGCCTTTGCGAACTGAGGGTAAGACCAATGTTCGACAATAGATTTTAATGTGGTTACTAAGCCATTTTGACCTTGAGTAAATTCGTACTTCAAAACAAAAGGAGAAAACCTTTCAACAAAGTTGTCGACCTTCTCATAATGTTTACTCTTCATCTTTTGAGGTTTCTTAATGGAATATCCCCATGTCGAATTCATAAGCAATTTGAGTGTCATTGCAAGTTTGGGGTTTGAAGCTTTCCTAATATCATACAGTTGTTGTATGACTTTTCCAACTGTATAGTTCCTTCCCGGGAACTCACCATCTTCGTTTGGAATTCCAGTCGGAATATATTGGACAAACCTCATGTACGCAGCGTTAAGGTCGACATAGTATATCTTTTCGTTTGAGTCGAACTTGTCGCAACCAATTGGTCCAGTTTGTGGAAATTCAAGTGAGTCTCTTATCTTCTGAGAAACTTCTCCTGTTATCTCATAAACATCGTCGAAGCAACCTGTTTCATATAAAACCTTCTGACCTAACTCAGATGCCCTCCAATACAATTTGACGTCAATTGGATGTCTCAATGGAAGTTTGTTTATAGCATCTTGAAGTTCTTGCAACCTCATTGGAAGTTCTTCTGGTTCAGGTTGGTATCCGAACAATCCAACTCCTTGTGGAACTGTGTACTTCTTTTGTACTAGAACTTTGTCTGGAACAACTTTTGGTCTTGCTAACAGTGAAAAGTTTGTTTCGTCTTTTGGTACAAAAGTTTCTGTCAGCTTGTCATCTGGAATTGGTTCCAACAAACCTTTCTCGAAAAGAATGTTTACAGCTCTGACAATGTTGCACTTGCCTTTTCCGAACAACGGGTGTGTAAGACTTTCGTTCAACATGAAGTGGTTGTGGACAATTACAATCTTCAACCATGGCAATTTGAAGTCAACAACATAGTCGTCATGTGAAGAACCTTTAGCTGTAGGTATGTTGACTCGGATATTGACATTTGCCAACGGTGCAATTTTTGCCAATTGACCTCTGAGAATGTACCTTGTCTTCACACATGACTCAAGATACTTCATTTTCTCATCTGTAACAAGACCAGAGTTCCTGAGACATGTAAGAATACAAGGTTCGTTGACAATTGTTTCAATTGAATTGTAAATTCCATACCTTGTCAAGTCAATGTCAGACTTATTTCTGAACGGGAAGTATCCAGCATGTTGTCTGACTGCTTGAGGGTTAGGTTGGTACCATTCGAACTTGACACTTGCAATTCCTTCAATTGCATTCAAAATGTCTGAGTCGGAGTCAACCATTTGTTCTCTCTTTGTAGTCTTGAAAGCGTCAAGAAGCATTGCAGCTGTTGTGACATTGCCATATGCATAGTAAATGTGACCATCCAAATCTGTTATGGTCAATCTGAGATTGTGTCCTTTCTTATTTCCGTCTTGTATGGCAGCAAGTACACCCATGAAGCCTTCTTTGTTCTTTCCTTCGTCAAAGTTTACTGTAAAGGTTCGACCAGATGTAATTTGACTTCTAACTTCACGATACTTCTCATATGCATATCTTGTTCTTTCCATGGGAGCATGTGCGTCTTCACCTTTTCCTTTTTTCCTTCTCAAAGGATGCAATTGTTCGTCATGTTTCCAGTAGAATCTGGCAAAGCCGTCGTGTCCTTCAACTTGAGGTTCACTAACATCGAAAGGCATGTCCATAAGACGTTCTTCTTCTAACCTCTCTAGTCTGTTTGGATAATTTGCACGTGCTGTTTCCAAATCCATTTCGTAGCGAAGACCAGACAATTTGTCATAGACTTTTATGGGTCTTCCCTTCCTATATTTAAAATTCTTCGAAACTCTCCAACCATATCTTTGCAACTCTGCTTTTATTCTAGCAGATTTTCTATCCATTCTATATGGGGGCATTTTTATAAAAATAAAAAAATATTTTTTTCTTTACTTTACATAACCGCCTGCTGCCATAAGTCTTTGACGCCAACCCATACCAGCTAATGAAGGTTGACTTGGTTTAGTTTCCAAACTAAACTTTGGTTTTGGTTTATCTTCAGTTTTTGGTTTTTCTTCTTCTATCTGTTTTTCGTCACTTTTCGGTTCGGCTGACTTTACTTCACTTGCAGGTCTAGTTGTGTCGTCAACATCTTCATAAATATCATATGCCATTTGTTGTTGTTTTCCTTTCAACTTTTTGTGTTTGTTGTAAAGTTTAGAATATTTTGACTCTAAGTCAATGAGATGTTCTATAATGAACTGTTGGTCAGTGAAGTAAACTTTTCCATCTGTTGTCTCGAAAGCTCCATCAGACTTCAATATTTTATTTGTGAGAGTCTGTTTCTTTTTTGAGATACTTGCCGTTCCATTTTTATGAAAAGTGACTTTGTAGTTAGGGTTTGTATTTCCAGACCTGGCACTTTCTATTATTGAATTTTTCTCTTCATCTGTAAGTTCTTTGACAGGTTTTGACAATGGTTCTGAACTTTTTGTTTGTGGTGTCAAATCTACCGTTTCAACTTCTTCGGTCATTTCATCTCAGTAAAAAATTTTAGTTTGGTTTGTTTTCAACTGGTTGTTGTTGTTTTTTAAGTCGGTCTAAAACTTCCTGAGGTATAGGAAGAACTTGACAAACACGTTGTGTAACTGCTGGAAGCCGACAAATCCATCTTGAACCGATTTGTCTTAAAGCTGTATTGTTCATTTCATCTCAGTAAAAAACTTTACATTCCCCACGTTTGAGGCGGTTGCGGTTGGTTATTGTTTACCCACTGTTGTGCATGGTTATATCCTCTGTTAAAGAATCTTTCACCTTGGTCCATATAGTGTCCTGCTTGGTTATAGTAGTCATTTGCTTTGTTATAATAGTTTCCTGCTTGTCTTCCTACATTGTCCATCCATCCTTGAACTTTTCCTCTTGTTTCAGGATTTGGAATAAGATTTGTTGCATCTCGTGCTACCTCCCAACCTTTCTGTACAGTTTGTATAATAGGTTGTGCTTTCTCTTTCAGTATACCTAATGTACTCAAAATCTTCCTTCCAACTCCAAATACACCTCTGGCTATTGTTCCCACTGCGGGTAAAAATCTAGATGCGACTCCTGCTAATGCGCCAAATAAACCCATTTCTTATGGGTTAAAAAATGACGAATCCAAACAAGGACCCCTATGTTTCTAAGGCAACAAAGAAAGCACTCATGATAAAAATCTTTAGTTCAACACCAAATGCTTGGTTTATGGATATCTTGGAAAACATTCCGAGAGTTAGAGAAGATGGACCACCATACTGGCTAATATTTGTTGGTCAAAACACAAGATACTGTGAAGCCATACCATTATGGTCCAAAGCTATTTTAGATATCTTAGCAGCTTTGACAATATTCGTTGACAAATACCATCCAACAAAACTGACATCTGACTGTGAAAGTTCTTTCAAATCAGACGATATTAAAAACTATCTGCGTTCAAAAAATGTAAACCAATATTTCATTGTCGACCAAAACCATTCTGCTCTTGGTGTCATTGACGGTTGTATAAAAATGTTAAGAGACTTAAACCAACCACAAGGTGGTGAAGCAAATGAAATGTCATATGACGACAAATATAGACACTTCTCCATGGCAAAGATGAGACAAGTTTTAAATATTTACAATAACCGTAAACAAAAAGGTTTGGGAAACCACTCCCCCGAAGAAATGAAAAACAACCCTGACTTAGAGAAAGACTATATATTTAATAATTTAGTCAAAAGAGACAAACAAGAAAGAATGCCGGGCTTCAAACTTCAGAAAGGTGACAAAGTAAAAATAGAAATACCTAAACGCGACCCATATGAAAATACTATTGACTATGACAACAATGGGAACCCGACAGGTACTCACATTCGTGTTCGTAAAAATAGAAGAAAGTATACAAGAGAATATTATGAAGTTTTAGGCAAACATGGCAAAATGTACACACTGCAAGCAGAAGATAAAACTACTATTGTCAGACCTCGTTTCAAACTTGTCAAAGTTCAAGGTGGTATACTTTCAAAGACAGTTCCTAACAAATATAAGACAACTCCTGACGAATATGCTAAAGAAGTGGAACATGACGACTAAGCATTTCTATACCATGCGTAAACTGTCATGTAAGGTGGCATGTAGTCTTTACTTTGTCCCGTTGTTTGCGTATACCCTGAAACGCGATGTGTATGGTTTCCATCTCCCTGAGTGTTACCCCAGAAACAATTTATAGCAAACTGAACGTCGTCTTTAACATCATATCCTTTACCTTTTTTCATTGCTGACCAATCCCAAAATTTATGCTTATGCCAACCTGCTTGAGATGTACTTAAATCTATGTAGTGACTGTGTGCAGGTAAGTTTTCACCTGAAATCGTTTTACTTCCACCTGTTTCCTTTGAAGAGTTTGCACAATACAAAAACCTGTCGACTATTTGAGTCCAAGTTCCAAAACCAAGTACTACTTCTGGTCTGGTAGAGTTCATTGACGTATAAATAGAGCCTATAGGATATAATGTTTGAAGTATTTCTGTCTTTAATGTTTGAAGCTCTGTTTTGTCTGCTTTCTTATCTAACATTGCGGGTAGTTCATATGCTTCAAAGTTTCTGGCATGACTTTCAATGTTCCTGCAACTCTTATCTAAATTGTTAAGAGTATCTTTTACGCTTGTACTCGGATTTTCTAATGGTGCACTTGAACCAAGGTCAAAGTTCAATATTATATCATCTGCTGTAAAAGTTGTAAAACTTGTATGTGTATGAGTCTTATTTGCTTTCTTCTCTAACTCATCGTTAACATATGTTTTATCCGCTTTAAGGTCTAAACATCCTGAAACCCATCCTGTATCGGCTTTAGTTTTTAAAATCTTCGATGTCCGTTCATGGTACCATTCAACCCTTTCTTTCATTTCGTTATCTTTTTCATCCACATATTCCTTATCTGCCTTCTTCTCTAACGCACTAGCCACACATTCCTTATCCGCTTTCTTTTCAAGGCTAACGTTTAAGTCTGTTATTTCAGATATAGAATGTGTATGAGTCTTTTTAGAATATTCTTTGTCAGCTCTTGTCACTTCACTTGACATTTTATTGTCAACATATGTTTTGTCTGCTAGTTCAGGATGAGTATGTTCTTTTGTTGCATAAGCTTTGTTAGCTCTTTCTTCTTCTTTTGCTATTGCATCGTCTACATATTCTTTGTCAGCTTTGTTGTCAACATCTGCTTTCAAAAGAAGTTCAGATATAGGTTTCTCGTTTAAAGTTCCTTTTGTTGGATTTATACAGACAGTATGGTTCTTATTGTCTTGAAACAGAAACTCATCTGTCATTGGGTTTAATGTCAGTTTTAAGTTTCCTTCTTTCAATGACTCAGATATCTTAGAATAGTTTGAAAAGTTTGTTGTGTTCTTATTTAGAGCTTGCATAATGAGTTGTCGGTTGTGTTGTATTTCTCTCATAGACGCTGTTTCTTTCGACATTTTTATTCTAGATAAAATATGCTTTCAATAGAAAAAGAAACTTCTAGAGTTGCTACAACTAAACCATTAGATGAACTTTTTACCAATGTCGGTCAAAAGTTTGAGACAGAGACCGTAAAGCATGAAGGCTATCGTTTTGACTACCCGTTAAGATGGTTAAGAGACCCATCTGTCACAAAAGCTATTGGCTTTCGTAGAATGAAGTTCATTTCAGAAGCCATACATGGTTTCCCATTTACGGTCGGTTTTGAAGTTCGATACTATAACAAAGAAAAACGTATGTATGAGAAATTTGAACAGGGAAAACTTTTACAAGTGAATTTGCTTGTAAACTTAGAAACAACTCTTCAAGCTTTTCAAGAAAAAATAAACGATATCTATCTCGAATATGCAAAACAGTACAACATTGACGAAGGAGAGTACCATCTCGATATTATATATGACAGGAAAAATGCAACTGTTAAAATCAATAGAATAGAAGACCTTGGAGAAAACGTTTATATTTCTACAAAATATAACAACTTGGCATGGTATAGATTTTTGAGGATGTTAAATCAGCCTGCAGCATATCCAGTACACCCAGACTTTTATGAAGTCGAAAACCCTAATGGAACATATGAAAATGTTTTCGACCCAGCTGCTATTATTGTTCATGCTTCATTTTCTGGTGCGCAAAACTCTTTCTTATGCTTGGCAAATGACTTTTACGAAAAACCTACAAAGCTATATGAACCACCAAGTGGAAGTATTTCAGACTTTCAAGTATGGTTTACTACAGATGGAAGAAAAAGAATAATTCCATTATACCATGCGTTTTACTTAGAACTTAGTTTCATATACAACTACTATCGAACGGTAAAAATATAATTTTTAATACGGTTGAGGTGTTGGATTTGGTTGCCAACTAGACTGTGGTGCAGGTTCAGGCTGTTGTATAACAGGAGCTTGTTCTTCTGGTTCAGGGTCTTTAGGTATAATACCAACGAACTGACCTACTCTTTTACCAATATTTTTGACTCCGTTCCAAATTCCTCTTCCTACGGTTTTTATTCCATTCCATATACCTCTTCCAACATTTCGAAAGAAGTTTCCTATCTTACTGAAGAAACCCATTTTACTATATGTAAAAATCTAATGTCCGCCTAGTCTCTTACGTTTCCTTCTGAGTTCCATAGCATTCTTTAACTGGAGCTCATACATTCTGTTTCTCCTCTGGTAGAAAACATATTCTGGGTCAACTCCTGTGTTCGCGTCATCTGCATAAAGTTGTTTATATCCCACTTCAGGGTTTGTATAAAACTCTTTCCATCTCATATTTGCATACCATGGTGGCAAACCTAACGCAGCGTCATTTGACATGGCAGTTTGCATTTGTACATCTGTTGGCACTTGACCATAGTTTGCCATTGCAGTTTGTATTCTAACTTCATTTGGAATATTCTCTGGGTTTGGTTGTCCAGGTTGCTGTGCATTCGCTAAGTTCTGTGCGTCCATTTAATATTAGATAAAAATATCTCTTACGAGTACATATGCTGAACATTTGCAGGCATTGGTTCATCTTCATATTCTCTGTACTTTTCTGCCACGTCAAATAAATAAATGACACAATGGAAAAAACCTAAAACAAGTAGTCCTATTTCAAACCACATTTACTTACTAATAAAATTTCTTTGTTATGACACTTTCTCCGGTTTATAGGACCTCTCTCATATTCTATCTTGTCATATCTAAACTCATAGTCATGTATGTCCTCTAACCATCTCATAACGGTTTCCAAACCACTTTTATCGGATGTAAAGTAAAAGCATGGATGGTTATGTATAACGTCTAAAGTTTCTAAAGAGTCTCTCAAAGTCCAGTCTACTTGGTATTGAAAATCCCATGTGTTATAGAACGGCGGGTCCACTATAAAGAAAACATTTTCCTTGTCTTTATATTTTTCATACAACTCTGTCCAATGACATCTCACAAACTCTATACCCTCAATATATTTTTCTATGTCCTCTTTGAAAACATTTGTATAGTTAAGATATAAAACTTTTGACATAAGTGTTTCAATGTCATGAACTCTTATAGCACCACTATATAATAGTCTAGCAGATATACTATCCCAGTCTATATATTCTGCTTTTTTCAAAACCTCTCTCACAATATTTTTCTTATCTAATGGTATACGTTCCATCTTACCTATAGGTATCTTTTCTTTTAACTCACTCAATATTTTGTTTGTGTCTGGTATATGTTTGAGACGGTTCATATAGTTGTCGAAGTCATTGCATATAATCTTTGAGTCAGGAAATATTGTATGGCACAAATGGGATATATAGAAACTTCCACCGAACAAGTCTACAAATGTTAGACCATTCGGTAGTTTCTTAAGTTCTCTCAATAGAATATCTTTACATCTACTCTTATTTCCAAAGAAGGGTAACGGTGGTTTTGTAAAATTCATTTTATATATATAATAAAAATGTTTTTTCCTGAAAAGTGACAGAAAAGGCTTCTCAAAGTATACTTCCTTGGAACGCCTGTAACTTTTCCTGTAGCGACGATAGACCCTTACTTGTCCGGACAAAGTTATACTAAACATCTTCAGGGCTAGAAGGGGCGCAGCCCCTGGAAGCCCCACTACCTTTTTTTTTTTAATTTGGATTATAAATAAATAGGCTAATACAATATTTAAAAATGAGAAAAAATAACTTTTCAAAGAACTTTTCATAATCTCAAAGAAAATTTTTTATTCAATAATTATATAAATTAATTAACATTCATAATGAAATTGGATTTTTTTATAAAAAATTGGTCCTACTTAACTTTTTGAGAGAATTTGGCTTTCTCGTAAACGAAAAAGGGATTTGACGGAGTCAAATCCCCGCTCACAAAAAGTGGACTTTACATGTCAAATTTTATATGCATGTAATGTCCACTTTTATGAGTTTTAGGAAGGAATTGGAAGCCATGAGTTACTGACATTGCATCAGTATCTCATAGCCTCCAATTCCTTCAAAAAATGGGAGAAACTTTGTCCGAATAGTTTAACATTCGGACAAAGTTTCTCCCATTTTAAGAAGGAATTGGAGGGTAAGAGATATACCATATGAATGTATATCTCTTACCCTCCAATTCCTTCTAGAAAGTGTCCAAACTTTGGGTTAATTGCAAAGTATTAACCCAAAGTTTGGACACTTTCAAGTGGAGATGGAAGGCTTTGGGGTATATATTAATACAATATACCTCAAAGCCTTCCATCTCCACTACAAATGGGAGAAACTTTGTCCGAATAGTTTAACATTCGGACAAAGTTTCTCCCATATTTCAATGTAATTGCTACCTGTGAGGTACTGACTTGAAGTCAGTGCTTCACAGGTAGCAATATCCAAAAATTTAAAAACATTTTATCAGTTCGTTAGAGAACTAGAGCCTCCTAGGTACTGAACCAGAATCAGTGCCTAGGGGACTCTAGTGATCTATATAAATCTGAGAAACTTTGAGGAAATTGTTCGACATTTCCTCAAAGTTTCTCAGCAATTTAGCGAGGAATGTTCGTTATCGTGTAGATATTTATAATATATACATAATAACAAACATTCCCCGCTAAAAGATGTAAAATCTTATAAGAAATAATTGCAAAAGAATAACAAATTGCAACAAATTTTATATGAAACTGAACCTTATGAGGTAGTGATTCAAGATCACCGCCTCATAAGATTCAGTTTCAATCTCAAGTATCTCAAAAGTAAGGCTCTATTTTTTGCCATGTAAAGTGTCACTTTTCCTGTCCAAATGATAAGTTATTCAGAGAAAGTTTCCCAGCTATCAAGAGGGAATTGTTCCTTATGAGGTATATAGTTATAATGTATACCTCATAAGGAACAATTCCCTCCTTAAAACGAGAAAACTTGTTCGAAATTGTTTATCATTTCGAACAAGTTTTCTCGTTTTTAATAAGAAACTAAAGGCTATGAGGCACTGATTATATATTAGTGCCTCACAGCCTTTAGTTTCTAATAGATAGCTGGGAAACTTTCTCCAAATGATAAGTTATTCAGAGAAAGTTTCCCAGCTATCAAGAGGGAATTGTTCCTTATGAGGTATATAGTTATAATGTATACCTCATAAGGAACAATTCCCTCATTAAAATCGTAGATATTTTTTACTTATTACTCATGCTTTCAAAATCACAATCCTCTGAAAAGTTATTTTTTATTAAGAATTTAGAATTTTGATAAATACCTTTTTTCAATTTGATATAATACTTATATATTTTCAAAAAGACATTTTGAAAAGATATCTCAAAAGTTCTCTGAAAACCTATTTTTGATTAATTTTGAGAAATATCCGTATTAAATTAATCAATAAATTCATTCAACACTACTTTAATTTTTAAATTCAAAAAATTATATGTGCTTCTTAAAATGTCTCACAAAAATTTTATTATAAAATTATATACAATATTAAAAATCCCACAACATTTTTTACTTTACATAATCGTACTTCCTCGACGATTAATTTCCCCTCAATTCCTATCGTTGACCGAACTTAGCATGCAACAATTTTCTAATATATAACTATTTTATATAAAAATCAAATTCAATGATCTTAAAAGCGAAGGATAAACCTCAAAATTTACGAATATAATGAGTGGGAATATAATGCTTATCTATCATAAAACCATATGAAATATTAATTTTTGCTTTACGCCTAATTTTTGACGACAATTAGCAAAAAATGTTAAATGTTAACACTCAGTCCATTTGAATATGAAAAATAAAATTGACTTTGATTAAATGTTTTTATTTATCATGCAATTCTTCTTGCGACCAAAGATTTGAATAAAATTTCAAAAAATAAGATAGCTTAAAAAATAATATACGGTAGTGTTTACTAATAGATGAATAGTATATAAATTCTATTAAAATGGATTTGATCCAAAAAAATATAAAACCAAAAATAATTGTTATAATTTAAATGAAGAAGTAATTTAAAACGATTTTATTTATGATCAAATTTTATATATTTTTTTGGATCAAATCCATTTTAATAGAATTTATATACTATTCATCTATTAGTAAACACTACCGTATATTATTTTTAAGCTATCTTATTTTTTGAACTTTTATTCAAATCTTTGGTCGCAAGAAGAATTGCATGATAAATAAAAACATTTAATCAAAGTCAATTTTATTTTTCATATTCAAATGGACTGAGTGTTAACATTTAACATTTTTTGCTAATTGTCGTCAAAAATTAGGCGTAAAGCAAAAATTGATATTTCATATGGTTTTATGATAGATAAGCATTATATTCCCACTCATTATATTCGTAAATTTTGAGGTTTATCCTTCGCTTTTAAGATCATTGAATTTGATTTTTATATAAAATAGTTATATATTAGAAAATAATATGAGTTTATGTGATATTATTTTTCAGAAGATTTCATTCTATATGCCTATGAAAAGTACTCTCAAAACTAACTTTTTCCTAATTATAATTAA